ATATATTTATATATATATGTATTTAAGAATAGCAGCAAATACCGAATAAACTGGAATGGCTTTCAGGTTTATAAAATACAGAAAAGTGCCTTTCATTAGCTTGCAGTCAGCTCCCCACTAGGACGTTGTTGGTTTTTTTTTTTTTCTCCCCTGGCTTCAAGAATGAACTTTCTTGATAAAAGGCATGCCGAACGTGAGCTCAGAAATGCGTATTTCTCTTAAAACTACCGCATCAGTTAGTTAATTACTCGGTTTTCTCCGCAGAAGGATCTAAATCGTGTACGGGTTTTTTTTGTTTTGGGTTGGGTTTTTTTTTGTTTTAGAAATTACCTCGTAGATTCGTTTCTGCTTTCAATAAAGAAGTTTTACTATACCTTTCAAAGACAGAGTAGCTCTTGCACTTCACCTTTAGTAAGTTGCAGACAGGAAGTCCCGTCTCAATAAAGACCATATTGTTGGGTTACAGCATGGCACGTTGGCTTTTATAACTGCATCCTTGCGGTGTTATAATTGTATCACCGTGGATTTAGCTTTCGAGCTTGCTGCTACAGAAATGATAGACCATTTGCTGCTGTCTGTTGCAACTTCGGTGGCAATTTGCATTTCTGTAACTATTGGTCTTCCTGGGTGGAGGTGACATTTGAACAGCTCCAGAAATATATTTCTAGCTAATATCTCAAACGGCTTTAAATGCGTGTACAGCTAAAGTAAAGTCTCAAAACCAAATGATTTACTGTCTAACAATAAAGTTGAAATGATGTGGTAATAGCTGTACTCCCAAAGCGTATCCCAAAACATACGAAGCATTGTTCGAGTAAATGCACTTTAGAAATCTGTTTTGACATATCGAATGGGCCATTTCATGGCTATGTAACTATAATCGTCCAAAAGGACTCTGTAGGCTAAAAGGAAGAACGAGAAAAATCCCACGAACCGGTTACTTTTCCTAAACAACCGTTCCCGAGTCTGTTTCATATTAAAAATGACCTCTCTCTTTCCATGTTCAGGCGGATGTTTCCCGCAATGAGAGTGAAGATCTCAGGTTTAGACCCACATCAGCAGTATTATATTGCTATGGATATTGTGCCAGTGGATAACAAAAGATACAGGTATGGTGACTTTAAGGCAAAAAACATATGATGCAAGCCATAGGGATCTTGGCTAGTGGAAGAAAACATCAACTCTGTATAAATTAGCAGAAGGTTGTGTTTAACTCTCCTTCAGATCCCTATTTTCATGCCAGTGCATTCAGAAAAAAAATTGTGCCAAGTATGCAAAACCAACTAAAACTTCTGTTGAAGCTCTTTATACGTTTGCCTTATGTTGTGTATGTACTGTGGGCAGATGCTCGGGCTTTGGCTTTCAGAGAGTGCAGTTCTAGTGCGATCAGGAATCATATTTTATTCCTCGTCATGTTGACGGGAATTATTTCCTATGAAAATGCACATTTTTCTAGTGCTAAAGGGCATTAACATTTAATTAATAACATTAATAGCATTGATGTCTGATTTAATGGCATGTAAGCTTTCTTGGTCATGCTTCAAATTGATTATATAATTTAATTTAAAAGCTGTTTATCACTCAGGTACCTGGTTGCTTAGATTCACAAAGGGTAGTGTCTCTTGTGTTTTTTTTTTTTTTTTTTAAAGAAGCGATGGCATTATTGTCTAAAGAATAATGCGAGGAACAAAAGCAGTTGCTCTTTGAACATTTAAGGGTAGGAATTACGTGCTGAAACTCGCACTATGGCGAGGGCAGTCGTGTTTTGAGGGAGGTGGTTGGGCTCTGCTGTGAAACCACTGGTCCTCTAGAAATATTTGCAGGATTGGGCCCGCAGCAGTTGCTGCGAGTTGTAGACAATCTGTAGGTCTTGCGTTACGGATGAGATCCCATGCTCCGCAGTAGCCAGGAGGAGCCTGGCCAAGTAGTTCAGTGGAGGCAGGATCAGGTCCTTACTAATTGCTGGTTTGATTGTTTCAACCCTATACTTAGTATAATGT